GTGGGGAGGGGCTGGGCTGGAATTGCCAGAGCAGCTGTGGCTGTCCCTGGATCCCTGGCAGTGCCCAAGGCCAGGCTGGACATTGGGGCTGGAGCAGCCTGGGACAGTGGGGGTGACCCTGGGACAGTGGGAGGTGACCCTGGGACAGTGGGGGTGACCCTGGGGACAGTGGGGGTGACCCTGGGACAGTGGGAGGTGCCATGGCTGGGATGGGATGGGGTGGGATGGGATTTGAGGTCACTCCCACCTCAAACCAGTGTGGGATTCTCTGACCTGCCTCTCCCTGCTGACATACAGCTCATGGGATGCCACCCCAGCTCCCTGTGCCTCAGTTTCCCTGGAGGCAAAAGGCAAGATGCAGAGCCCAGGGAAGAGGTTCGGTCTGCAGAGACCCTTCCCCCAGTTCTGCCCAAAGGCTCGGGGCTGGCCAGGGGCTGCTGGAGAGGGGAGGCACATCCCCAGCCCCTCCCCAGCTGCAGGAGGGGCAGAAGGACGAGGAGGGAGAGGAACCCACGGTACAGGGGAGAAAGTTTGGTGCCGTTGTGGTGTACAGTGGAATACTAATGAAGAGGCAAGTGAGCTCCAGCCTCATCTATCATATTATGTAATGGCTTACTTCTCTGCACTTCATTTATTTGGAGATTGCTCCCAGGCTGGCTCCTCGCCAGCAGCCACCAAATCCAAGTCTACAGAAATCAATCTCGCACTGACTGATTAAGCCGTGTTTAGAACTAATTGCTCCTTCGTGTGTGGGGAGAATAAATTACGGGCTTTAATTTCACATCTTTAAAATGCAACTGCAGGTATGGGCCAGCCATTAACCCCTTCCTGCACAGCTGGGGAGGGGGCCCAGGGGGTGTTTGGGACACCACCAGCCCAACCAATGCTCGCCACCTTCGAGCAGAGCAAGTCAAGCCCTCCTGACAGGGAGAGTCCCCTTGACCCTTCCAGCACCTCTCCTTAAGCCACAGAATGATCCAAACTCCCACTGGCATTCAAGCAGCAGGGACAGGAGCACAGCACGTGGTTGTCACTGCCTGGCAGGCCCAGGGCCACCAGCCAGCTCAGCCCCTGGTGCCCTGCACCCACAGACTGTGGGGAGCTGGGGATGCCAAAGCTGGGCTTGCTGGAGTGATGCCCAGTCACTGCCGGGCCCCTGGCACTCGTGGGGACCCCCCCATGGCCACAGTCCCTCCCTGCCAGCTCTGCTCAGCACAGGAGGCAGGAGATGCTGCAGGGATGGAGCTGCCATGCAGAGCACGGGGAGAGGGGATGGGCCTTGGGGATGTCACAGCTGGATGGGGGTGACATTCAGCATCCTCAGAGGGAGCACAGAGCACCCTGCATCCCCAGAGGCAGGGGACGGGGCTGGCAGGGTCAGGCTGCCCGAGGGAGAGAAGGGCAGGCTGCGGCTTCTCCTGCAGCCGAGCTTCATTAAGAGCCAGAAGACAGCGGCAATTAAGCGCAAGGTGCAGCACACCCGGCTCTCTCCTCATTAGCACCCCGACACGCTCGGC